TCATTTTCATGCTGGGTGTCTTGATGATGTTTCTAGAAGTATTTGGAGACAAAACTAGTTGCTCCAATACCGATACGATTGTGGGACAGTTAATTTGAAGTTTCTCCATTGTGACTTCAAACAATTTAGGATTAAGGACGTTTGTAAGGTCTTTGACTTCATGGCCTCTCAATCCAAGGTTAAACAATTTCTTTGTCGAATCTATCTCACTCCTGATGACATTTTTCTCTGATAAAGATAGCAAACCTCCAACCATTTGTCCACTCTGAACAATTTCCTTGTACAAGTTTACTATAGCCTCATGCTTGCTCATGATCTCATTTGAGAGCAGGACATTCTGTTCAAAACATGTTTGTAATTGTACTAAGTTGTCTGAAAGTCTTTTATTGTTGGAATCAAGTTCAAAAATTTGTGATTTCAGTTCCCGTAATTCTTTTTTCATGTTTGATAGCTTGCTTCTTGTGCTAATATAACTTGCCAATTCAACATCTGAAAAATTAAGAAAACAAAAAAATTATTAGATAATGCTGTACTGTACATCCAGTTATACCATATAAGCATGTATTATATGAACATGATCATAATCAAAATCATGACTACAAATTCTAAACGTAAAATAATTCACTCAGTGAATTCACTTTGATATTGCCTTGGAATATCATTGTTTTTGGTAAATAATAAAAGTGAAGTAATGACGGCTTACTACATGTATTCTAACTAAAAAACCTTTTGCTAAAACAGATCTATGTCAATTTGTGTAATGAGAAAGGCAACAGGAAGTTGGGTCATAAGTTGCACTGGGCGATTGGTATAACATAAAAATTATCAAAATACATAGTTAGTATTACCATTGTCATTATCTGAAAATTCCAATTCTTTAAACTGTCAAGCTAAGTTGTCCACATTTGACAAGGCTCCACCTGTAAGAAAATACTTATTATTTACTGAAAAATTGATAAGAAAAACAATAAAAGTGCTTATAATATAATTTTAGAGTTATATAAACACGATTATTTTGTAAAATTTGAAATTGTGTAATTTTTTCTTGTGAACCATATGGTTTTACGCAGTAAGGTCACTAAAAGCACATTAACTAAATAATCATACTACACTCCAACATGGATTGTTAAAAAATAGCTTATATACTGGTATAAGCATAGGTAGCCCAACAATCTGCATGCTGTGACATATCATATATGTATATATTATCCTACAGGATAATATATACACAGATGATATGTCACAGCATGCGGATTGTTGGGCTACCTATGGTATAAGCAATGTCTTGGAGACAAAAACAATATTGTGATATGGTCACATAAACCTGCAAAAGCTCTGTTTTAACATTTTTTTAACATTTTTAACATTTTATTAATTTTCAAAAAAACAAGTTTTACAAAAATAATTACTGTCTGCGGATAGCTAAAGCTAATCTAGGCAGGCAGTAATGAAAACATTTACAAATAAAAATCAAAACATAAAGGACAAAAAATGAACTTGCTAAAGTCTTGTTTTATATTGTAGTAAACAAAAAAAGAGAAACAAAGACACACACGCGCAAACAAACAAAACAAACAGAGTTACAACTACAAATAAATCCGTATAAATCCATGGGCTCCAGGTTCACAAAAAAAAAAAAATGACCCCTAGACCCACGGATTCATACATTCCATTGTTTAAGGTACCGAGAGTGCAAACACAATAGCATCCTTAAATGCTAAATTTTCATATATATTCAAATAAATTAGCTTTTTTTTACTTTTCTAATTATTGTTTCTAAATCAACATAATCGTCCTCATGTGAGAGTATATGAAGTAGTGTTAGATTTAGCGTTTTTTTAAAGTTATTTTTTTTATAGTTTTGACATACTAATAGGAATACTATTCCATATCCTAACTCCAGCTCTTGAAAATGACTTAATTTGTTGGGCAGAATTTGAATATTCAACATAATAATTGCCTCTTAAAGAAAACCTAGTACTATATTTGTGCACTTGGTTAGAAGAAACAAACAAATTGGAAATGTTAGACGGTGTAAAGTTATTTGCCACATCAAACATCAAAGTAGACACAGACATGAAGTACAGCATATTAACAGGCAGTGCATTAGCAGAGACAAATAATGGAATTGCATGAGATGCATACTGCTCAAAATGTATTAACCGGAGAGCACGTTTTTGATGTTTAAGAATTTTGTTAAGATGAGTTTTTGCGGCTTGACCCCATACCACAATGCCATATGATATATGCGGTAAGATAAGGGATCTGTAAATGTTATGTAAAGTACTTGTAGGTACAAAATGTCTCAATTTAGCGATAATACCAATCATTTTACTTATTTTTGAAGCAATGTGGCTAATGTGATATTTCCATGAGAGGTTGCTATCAATGAGTACGCCTAGATATTTGACATAACTTTTGCGTTCTAAAGGGATATAGGTATTAGATTGAACATCGAATATTTTCAAATGTACTTCATATTCAAGCCGTTTTTGGTATGGGTGAAAGATGACAAAGTTAGATTTCTTAATATTCAATGATAATTTGTTTGCGTTTAGCCACGTGCACAAATTAGAGAGTTCAAGGTTGACAATATTTTCAAGTGACTTTAATTTTTTATCAGCATATAATAAGTTAGTGTCATCCGCAAACAAATAAAATTTTAATTTCTTAGATGAGTTATAAATGTCATTTATATAGATAAGAAATAGCAGAGGTCCCAAAACTGAACCTTGAGGAACACCAGATAGCGTTTCCTCTTTGTCTGAAATATTTGGGCCAATTTGCGTTGTCTGAATACGTCCAATTAAATATGACGAGAACCAATCGTTTACGACACCACGTATTCCATAGTGCTCTAATTTTTTTAGTAGTATCATGTCATTTACCGTATCAAATGCTTTTTTTAAATCAATGAAGATACCGCATGAATACATTTTCTGGTCCATATTAGTTTGTATTTGGTTCACTATATCGAGAAGAGCATGTTGAGTAGAATGTTTCTCACGAAAACCATACTGAGATTCAAACAGCATCTGGTATTTCTCAAGGTATGCTTTAAGACGATTGTACATTGTTTTTTCAAAGATTCTGTTAAATACAGAGAGGAGAGATATTGGTCTATAGTTTGAGGGGTCAGACATCATCATCTTTGTATATAGGGATAACTTTAGCATGCTTTAATTTAGCAGGAAAAGAGCCATTTTCAACTGACTTATTAATCAGGTAAGATAGAGGATGGCATAATATATTTCTTGCACATTTTAGAATACAAACAGGGCAGGAATATAGACCATACGCTTTGTTTGCTGGTATTGACAATAACTCCAGTTCGATTTCTTTTGGAGTAACGAGACTAAAAGCGAAAGAGTTTGAATTGTTCAAACTAGGCAAATAATCTGTAAACTCGACAGACGGATTTGGTATTTCTGACGCAAGAGAATGGCCAACAGACAAGAAAAATTTGTTAAGAATATTAGGGTGCTCAAAAGTATTGTGTGACAATCTTTGACTGAGAGGACATTTAAGAACGGTAATTGGTTTACTATTCCTCTTTTTACGGTTGATTAAATTGTTTATACCTATCCAAGTCTTCTTGGTGTTTTTTAAATTAATTTCGAAGTATTTATGATAATAAGCTTTCTTACTCAAGCGAGTAAGCATCAATACCTTATTTCTATACAGCTTATATTTGTCAATATCACCCGAAAAATAAAATGAATTTTTAATTTTAATAGGTTGTCTGATGCCTTTTGTTATCCATGGTTTTGATAATTGTTTAGCTTTACGATTTGAAACTGGCTTTAAAGGGGCATGCTTGTCAATTAACTTGTTAAGCTTATTATAAAAGGTAGAAAATGCTTTACTTGTATCAATTGTACAAGAAACAATACGACTTAAGTCAAGTTGTGTAAGGTCATTAACAAAATTTGCATCAGAAAACTTTGAATAATCACGATGAAAAGTATTGTGTAAGTTTGAAGTTTTGGTCATAATACTAGATCGAGTGATACAAAATTGTGAATAGTGATCACTAATATCTGAGACAATATTACCGCTAATAATGCGGTCTTCAATCTTATTAATAAAAATATTATCTATGAGTGTGGCAGAATTATTGTACATGCGAGTTGGTTTGTCAATAGTAGGAATTAAATTAAAACTTTGTAAAGAGAGAAGAAAGTTTTGGGCAAAATTACAGGTTTCTGAGCGAAGAAGATTTATGTTCGTATCACCCATTAAATAAATAGGTTTACCAAACCCAGTCAGTTTCTCAATTGTCCCCTCAAAGTAGGCTTGAAAACGCTCAGGTGAATTATGCTGTCTATAGATTACTCCGCATATTATGTTTGCACTCCTTGGTAACTGAATTTCAATCCAAAGGGCTTGGAATGCCTCATCAGAGCATTTTTCTATTGTTTTATATTTTAGGGTATTGTGAATATACATACCAACACCGCCGGCGGCATGAGGTGTTGGGACAAATTCGAATCTATAATTTGGTATTGATGGATTAAAATCATAAATAGTGTCTTGATTGATTCTAGTTTCAGTGATTCCTATTACACTAAACTGATAATTAAGTTCTTCTAGTAAATGTGATTGAAAGTTTTCTAAATTGCGTTTGAGGCTTCTAATATTATGAAGTAAGGAAAAACTGTTCCTGGTTGCAGATGTACTAGACTTATTTTTTAGCTGACTAAAGCTATTTGGTGAATAATATTTACAACGAACCGTTGGTAAACGAGTTACCGAAAGGTTAGGTTGAAAAGATCTAGATCATGGATGCTAGTTAAGCGCTCAAGGTATCTCTTTGTTGGCAAGGAACTTTTTAAGCTATTATTAAATTGCCCATGGAATTGAGTAAAATTTAAACCATAGTATGGCAACTCCCTAAGGAGTGCTTTATTCAAAGCAATATCTTTTGCTGTCATTGAGTTCGCCATGTTTATCTAAATACTAGAGTATAGTTAGACATATAAAAAAAAGTTCAATTCTACTTAGCTGTTGCTTATTTTGGATTTAACTTTGGTTGTTTGCAAGTTCGCCAGATCACGTTGGTCTTTGATCTTGATCGCTCGGGAATCTTCATGTTTTCGAAGATATACCATAGAGTTTTTCGTCCAACAGAATCTGAAATCATTTTCGTCTTTGAATCTTTTAGCATCTGCTAGAAGTTGTTGGGTCTTCGGCGTTAGGTGGTCGTATACAGCAGCGTTCGCTAAAGATTCCTTGGGTAAGCCAACAAGTCTTGGATTGATTTTCTTAATGTCCCTTCTTACTGCCATTACTTGCTCACGGGCAAGGCGTCGTATGAATTTGCAGACTATTGGTTTGGGTCGTCCATCATTATTCCTTCTTGTGGGTACACGATGAGCAATGTCTACGTCTTGTAGTGTCACTTGAACGCCCATGGCGTTGAAGATTTGTACACATAGTGTACTTGTCTGGATAGCAGATTCTTTGGCTTCAAGCTCGGGTATTCCTAGCAGTTTGACATTGAAGGAGTAGCTGTATTGCTGAGCATCGTCAATTGACTTTGAGAGGTTTTCTACATTTTCAGCAATTTCTGTTATACGGCCTTCTAGATGCGAAAGTTGTCTTCTTGCCGATGTTCGGAAGCTTTGTAGGTCGTCGTACTCGCTTCCCAAATACTCCAAGGACTTGATGGTCTCTTTGTTCACAGTCGATGGAGAATTCATCTGGTCGGCGTTACGTGCTTCATTTTGTTTTACATTTTCTTCTAGTTTTCTAAAATCTTTCATCAGAATCTCAATTTGCGCCTTTAGATCATCATTTTGTTTCTTTAGTGACTTAACAGTGTCCTTTGACATGTTTTATTTCGACAGTTTTGATAACAATTCAGGAGCTCATGGAGGCACGTCTGTACATAACAAGCACGTGCTTTGATAACTAAGTTAGTCTCCTTAGTTATCAACTCTGTTGATAACTAAGGAGACTAACTAAATTAATAAGTTTGGACACTTGCTTTATTCTGAGTGATAAAAAGTCCATGGTATGTATCACACACCTTTGGTTTGCTTTCGCTTTGGAGATGAAAATTCATCCTGTTGTGCCTCATCTGTAAACTTCTCTAAGAAATAAATTAAACAATATATTATTCGAATAGAAATATAGGTGTAATATATGTGTTATATAAGAAACCAATTGTTGCCAATAGATATACATACGACATATTTTTAAGACAATCAGTAGCCTACCTGGTGTTTTAGATGGAACTGGTGATTGTTGTGTTGTTAAAACAATGCCATCATAATAACCCCTGAACACAAAGGCAAAAACATGTATTTTAGCATCAAACATGTATTTATTGTATATAAGATGTACCTATAAAACATGTATGTGACATATTACACATTAAGTGATCCCTAACAATTCCTCACTATTAAATATTTCTCCTTTTATATATAAAACATCGCTGTATTATTACTTATTTTCCATTTTTTTTTCCAAAAATTAATTGCCTATGGAGGAGGCTAATATATTGTAACTACATATCATGACAATACTCAACAATAACAGTCTCTCATTGAAAAGCAGATCCCAAGTTGAAAAATTCATCTACAGTATATACCTATTTTTTGCACACTCTATTTTCTATGACTATGTGCACAGTGCACACAGTAACTTACTTCCTCAATGTCTCCTTTCCTCTATACTTGACGAATTTTTGGGTTGGTTTTGAGACTTCTTTAAGTATTTCCTTTCTTCCAAGTGTTTTCAAAAATGAATAACGTCCCAAATGATCTAAGAGGTCATCAACCAACAGTGATCCACCTTCCTGGCTGGTGATGTTAGCTTTCAATACGTCATCAAGCTTCTTTTCAAAACAAACGTGTGAAGGTCGTACTAGACAAAATGAAATAACAGAATTAAGCGACTATAATGACATGACAAACACTACCATTTATATTATTGTATTATATATGATAAATTACGATTATATATGTATAAATAAAAGTTGCTAACCTTTCCTCTTTGTGCCTTTTGGTGTCACAATTGTTGTTCTAATTTGGCTCTTGACATAGGGAGAAACTGTCTGTGTCTGTTCTTTTTCGAAGTCCTTTCTGGGCTCTTCTTCCACATGTTGTTTTACGACAGATATTTTTCAGTATCACCATGGATAGTTGTATCACTTACACTGGCCAATTCCATTTTTAAAACTTCAATTTCTGCCATCCGTATTTTAACTTCTCCTTTTTTGTCTCTAATCTGTCTAAGTTCACTTAAATAGCTTTTACTTAAAACTGGTATCTTAGAATCTAGTGATTTATACCAAGGATTTTAATAGGAACTTCTCCACTCTCTTGACTGTCTGCCATGTTGGAACAAAACCCTTCTTAGCAAGGGTGGGGTACAGACTAAAGTCCATGAAGTACAGACTGCGGTCCACGCATGTTGAGTTTTGGCAGGCAATCCCTGCGCTTCCCCTCCCCGCCATTTCCCCCTTTATCCTCAGTGATCCCTAACAATTTCACACTATTAAGTATTTCTCTTTTTATATATAAAACAACTCTGAGACTCTGCTATTATTACTTAATACTTATTTTCCAATTTTTGCCAAAGATTGCCTGCGGAGGAGGCTAGTTACCTTTCATACGTTCCAACAATCTGCGCCTCGTTTTGTTTGCGGATCAACAAAGAACGAGTTCGATGATGCCAATTAGCAGCTTAACCCGAATTAGGTTCAGTCCTGTCCGCTGGAGTTGCATAAAGTCCTCAAGCAACAAAAGCATTTGTCAAGCAACAGCCGGCCTGTTTACATATTGCTAGGCCTAAATTTGTTTCATGCAAATAAATCAAATCGTAATAATCAACACTTGTTATTAATTATATGCAAGCAGTTGCAATGACGGGGAACTTCAATATAACACAGTAATGCACTTTGTATTTTTTAACCTTATTAAATGATTTTTTTACCTACTCCAATAATATTTATTAGCTTTCATGAGTGTGACCTAATAAGACATTTGTGGCCTATATGCGTCTTAACCAAATAAACCAAAATCACTCAATATTTTGCCGGTTTTATACTTGCGCCCATTCTGATGAAAACTCACTGCATAGCCTGTAGCCACTAAAGTAATGTACTTTCCTTTAACATTACGTCATTATATTTATGCCTCATTCTTTAAGGTGGCTCCCTAGAGTTTTGTAAAAATTGTAGATAGTAGATTTGTTGTGGCGAATTAAGCGCCAATATTGCAGACTAAAGATCAATAATACTTTTGATTATATTGTGGAGTACGTTAGAGATGAGAAACTTGACGGATTAACTATGAAGGCCGTTGCTATGGAAACAATGAGGTTTCAACATGGCCGCTAATTATAATTTAATTGCAATTATTTCGTGAATCCCTCGGTGAATTTTTTTTATTTTTCACCAAATGCTTTGCAGGTCATTTAGTAAACGGCCGGACAATTTTAAAAGAAAGTTATCGATAGGATTTTTTTTAATTGCGTAAAACCATATTTTCCCTCTTTAATTTTTTTTCTTCTGGAAAAATGTTCAGTGGAAAAGACATTTCACCGAAGGGTTTGTGAAATAATCGTAATTTAATGATAATTGGTGGCCATATTGAAACGTCATTGTTCCCATGGCAACAGCTTCTATAATTGGCCAATCAATATTTTCGTATTTCAAACATGGTACTCAATACGTTAAAGCTAATTTTAATCTATAGTTTACAATGTTGGTGCTTAATTCTGCATCATCAAACCTGCACTTAAAAAAATTCTCAAAACCCTAGGGAGCCACCTTAAGAAAACTCACTGTGTAGCCAGTAGCCACTAAAGTAATGTACTTGGCTTTAACATTACATCATTATATTTACGCCTGGTTCATTAAAGTGCCACTAACCCCCTTTTTTTCCCCATGAAATAAATAACCATTACTTATGGAGTACAAAACTGGAGAAATTTTTTCAATCGGTTAAATTCTCACGATTTTATGCTGTCTCAAAGTTGGTAAAATTGCCCAAAAATCGTCGCCATTTTGTCCCACAAGCGCTCTTGATTGATTAGAGCTGTGGCATCATTTGGTTAATCCGCTGTTTTATCAACACTAATAAAAGTGTTAGGTTACAGTGCTATGCAAGTTTGTTTGGCGAGCGAATAAGGGAGAAAATGCGGAAAAGATGCATTGTTGCTGGTTGTAGCAACATAGGAGATAAGGAAAAAGAAATATTGTTACATGCTATTCCTTTTTTGGGGGATAAAGGAGCATAAGCCAAAAAAATACGACTGACTTCGTAAGGCTCAAACATGCAAAATGGACACCGAAGGCGTATTCAGACATATGCTCTGAACATTTCAAACTTAAAGATCTCTTGCTACGATTTTCGCATATCAAAGGTGAGAGCACTGTTGCCAACAGATGGCTCAGAAAGGACGAGATCTGTGTTTGCGTATTCCGAACAATCATGCCATTGACTGACACAATGAAACGTTCAGACAGGGTATGCTAATTCACATTTATTTTATTTACAAACTTTGAATCTGTTTGACTGTTATCATTTGAACTGATATTAAAAAGGCTCTTAAGCCGCCATAAAGTATAAATTGACCAAAGCATATATAAGAAAAACACATTTGAAAGTCTGAACTTTGTTTGTGTCATTAGTTCATAGTAATGATGGTATCATGTGGCTTTTTGTTCCACATGCAACTTGATACAATTTTGAACTGTTTTGTAGATCTTAAAGGAAGCAATATCCATGAAAAGAGGGCCACTGAGCCAACCATGTGCAAAGAAATTGACATATCAAACAATCCAAGCACTAGTCAAGAGATAATGATTTTAAGACCCCTGACCCTAAACCTGATCAAATTACTACCTCATCTGAGTTGTCACCTGCATGCAGGGATTGTGAACACCTTTTAGCAGAGAACAAAAAACTGTCCAGAAATGTGACAACATTGAGGGCAATTGGAAAAAAAAGACAAAATGAAGTCAACACATACAGGAGAAAAAATAGGAATAAAGTTACCTTCTATTACAATTTGCAAATCAGTTTAGTAGGACAGTTCTCAAATTTTCTGTCTGGAAATAAAAACTGCCTATGATGAGCCCATTTTATTGTCTTATTGTGAAAAAGAGACCTTTAATTTTTAGTTAAAAATTTGGAATCGAGAATAAAAAAGGTAAAAACAGCTGCAAAGGGTCCAGAGAAATACAAAGGGGTAGAGGAAGCCATTGCTATTGAAAGTGATGAAAATGAGGATGAAGAGGAGTATGAAATGGATGTTGAATAACCAGAAGAGGAAAGTAGCTCTCAGATATCCCAGTATGAAACAGAAACAGAAACTTCGGAAACTGAGGATTCAATTGACTTAGAAATGTAAGTCTACATTCAGGTACAAACTACGGACTGAATCTAAGCATATTGTTTCTTTCCAAGCTACTTCAATTGTTCAAGTTCTGTCAAATATGCAAGCATGACAACCCTGAGATAGAGGTGAAAGAATGTGGAACTAGTGTTTCAATAAAATCAAAATGCCCTTCATGTAATCAGAAGATGGAATGACATAGTCAGCCATATATGCCTGATTCCCAATCACAAATAAGAGCGGGTAATTTCCTCCTAAGCTTCTCAATACTAGTTAGTGAAGGATCACCTAGGAAGACTCTAAAGCTTTGCAAACATATGGGACTATGGAAACAAAAATGTTGGCATATTCGTACACTGTCCCCAAAAATGTTGGCATATTCGTACACTGGAATGTATTGCCGGTATGTGTACTCAATGCATTTACTTTATGAACCAGTTTTAATCTGTGTACACAGTCCTTATTGCTAGTGATATTGCAAGTA